TTCCATCTACAATGGCCGTACATAAGTTTATTTCTGAAAAGTAAAAGATAAAATGTTCTAGTCCTGCGAATCCTTCTGACTTGTTACAAAAAGTTTGTACACCTCTTGCTCTTTTTAATCATGCCTCCAAATCTCAGGTAATTTACCCCTGATTCTGCTTCTTTGGATCAGGTTTCAAAAATCCGAAGTATGCGAGGAGTTTCTCTGAAAAGCATCACGGTTTCGGTCGTATTCACTACTCACCCCCAGCAAATGACGGGTGTAGTAAAACGTTTCTCCTTGCTCATACACGAAGTAAAACCAGACAAAGAGGAAGATATTCAGGCCCATCCAGACCGACTGCAAAAACAAAAAGTGTTCATTAGAAAACGGATCTCTTTCAGAAAGGATACAAACTGCACTTGTCAGTCAGAATTACGCGCAAAATCAGTGCGTAAAACTCCGCTACAAGTTTGGATAAGGACTCACTATTATGATGGCTGAAAACCAATTATTGACAAACCAGTTCCCCATGATGAAGGCTGCTTCTCGGCTTTCTGTGGGTGCTCATCCTCAGCCCGCTGGCTTTATAGCTCCCACCTGCAGGGACTCCTCCCTCCATCACTCCCAGATGCACAGGAAAGCAAATCCCCCTCCTCCTCCTCCTCCGCAGCAGCAAGTGAAATTACGCTGTTCAGGAAGTTCCGAAGAAACTAGAAGAATCACATTCCTGTCTGGCTGCAGCGTTAGGCTGGAATAACCTTTACTGGACTGACGGATGAATGAGGAAACAGACATTGACACCATGCAGGAAACCTCACTCTGCTGCGGTGACGCAGCCTGAGTTACTTTTATTGTTGTGCGTCTTAATATGTTGAAACATAAGAAAGATTAAGTCATTCAATTAAAACTGTGACTCTTCTAAAGAAGCTGGAATGTAAACTTTCCAGCCATGGAAAAAAACAAAACAAACCAAAAAAAGACTCCTTTTGAGATTTTAAGATTAAACTCAGAAAATGTCTAGAAAAAAAACTAAGAAATTTCTGAGCTCCAAAAGTCAAAAATGTGCGTGAAAAAAATCCCATGGCGTCTTGATGTTAATCTCAGAAAATTTCCAGAAACAAGGAAATTTCTGAGCTCCAAATGTCTAATATTTGCTAGAAAAACAACTCAGAATTCTGAGATCTCAAAATTCCCCAAGTTTTTTTTAGCGGAAATTTACCGCTCATTTATTTTATTTTTTTATAAAGGAAACCAGAAACAACTTCTGTTTCCAGATAATTTATTTTATTGCTCTAGAAATCAGAATCCCAGAATCTAAAGACAGAGGACAACAAAGTCCAGAGTGTATCAAAGCTGTCTACCAGGAAATGCACGCCATGCTTCCTTCTGCTGATAAGCTTTATGGAGAGGCTGATTTTATTCTCCAGCGGGTTTTCTACCTGCACCAAACACACCTGCTTCAGCAAACTTACCTCCATAAACCCCAATTTATGAAAACATGGCGTGTGCAAAGATGACAAACATCAGACCTATTTAAGACTTTTATCACAAAATAATGTAAGAGTCTTAGCCCTATAGCACCGAGCTAATGTAGCATCGTTTGGGTTAGCAACAGAAGTGAGCCAGTGGCGGAGGCGAACGTTGTCAAGCCAGCTGGCGATAAATCTGTACTTAAACTATGATGGACGCAAACAAGCTACCTAGTTAGTTAGCTAGCTAGTTTTTCTCCGTCTGTTTCCACGGCAGCAACCAGAAACAATGGTTACTGGGAACTAGCTGCTAAGATACCCTTGTTAGCTAACTAGCTACTAATGAACTTTTGCTAGTTAGCAACACAGATATGAATGTCTACGGCTCGCATAGGTATATTAGCAGCGGTAGCCTCAACCGCCTGGAGTAGCAGAAAGCAAAGCAGAAGCGATTCAAACGTTTGACAAAAAAAAAAAAAAAAAATCACGAGAAAAAAAAAGACTATAATCAAAATTTGGGTATTACATCTTTAAAGTGATGTTTTATATGATGTCTGTTCAGCATTTTGGTCAGTTTTGCAATTTTGAAAGTGCTTATAGTTGGCTTGGCTAAATAGTCCTGCCATCTCAAAATTTAAGCCCTGTGATTAAATATATAAGGCCAACATACCTTTTTAATAAAAACGAATTTGAGACATAAGGATATAATTTTAGGTGCATGAATTTAAAACTTTTTAAGGATGTGTGGACACCCTCATTAAAGAAAGTTTGGCTTCCTTAACACCGCGCAGTAGAGCCACAGAATGCCATGTTGCAGTAATGCAGCATATGAAAAAGGAGCCCCAACCAAATATAAAGTGCATAAACTGTACATTATATGTACATATTTTAAATAAATTGCGATTTCTGGAGTAAAAATGCTATTTTTATTTTGTTCACTTTTTTGTACTTTTTCTTTCCAAGTGACTTTCTATAACTATGATTAAGTAGGTTTAAAAACAGCTTCTTTAGCATTTCTTGTATTCGCTTAATGTTTAAATCTGTTTTATGGTCTTTGTTTTATGCTGTTTTAATTTATTGTAGCACTTTGAGATTTCTACAAATAAAGTGCCTTTAAATAAAATGTACTATTAGCAAGTCATTTGAGTTACTCTCCATGTGGCGATTTTCAGTATCCAACATGATTGTATCGACTAATGTTACATTTCTGTAATAACTTTTAAATGATGCAATTTTTATTATGTTAAATCCACCTGCAAGTCAGAAAACTTTTTTTTTTCCACTTTATTCAATGTTCAAGTAGTACAGTAGTAGTCAAGGCACTGAATGACAAACTAGACAACTTAAAAAAATAAAAACATGCATAGTATCAAAGCATAATTACAAGCTCATTTAGTGTCCATCTCTTAATTTTACACAACAATTAGGTTGATTCTGGATCATTTCTGTTACAGAGGCCACACACAAATATTCACCATCCTTTCAGTTTCTCAGCAGAACAACGTGTCCAACTTTCTGTTTTTTCCCCCATTTAAAGGCAGTGAGCTGTGAAGAACAGACAGCAGCTGAGAGGAAACCAGTCAAAGCTTTGTAACATTTTCTGCCATGCTGCGTTCAAGTCTGATCAGTGCACATGCAAGACGTGTGCAAACAGGGAGCTTTGAAACCCTGAGGTAAACTGAAACTGTGCTGGGTCAGTGTCTTGGCCACTTCACACACACGCGCACACACACACACACACACACGCACGCACCTACACACACCTGGCTCAGCGCTGTGCTTTCATTACCTGCTTTTGAGCATCGCCGCATATCTTCAAGTGCGACATTCTTTGGTGGCGTAATCATGATCTGGGAAAGTTCATACACTGCAAAAAACAAACTCTTACCAAATATTTTTGGTCCTTTTTCTACTGCAAATGTCTTATAACACATGAAATAAAATAAAACTAAATTACAATAAACTTTTCAGTAAGATTTAGTAGGTTGTTTTAAGTAAATAACTTTTAAATATTGATGAAAAGCAGATTATTTCACTTATAACGTGATAAAATGTCTTAGTGAAATAATCTGACAGTTCAACCAGCTTTTTATCATCAATATTAAGGAATTATTTACTCAAACTTCTTTTTCTTGCTGAAAAGTTTCTTGTAAGTTTGTTTTGTCTTATTTCAAATGACTTCAGATATTTGCACTAGAAACTGGAACAAAAATACTTGGTAAGATTTTCTGTAAATATATTAGTACATTTAAAATAAGATAAAACTAAATTAAAGTAACTTTTCAGCAATAGGAGCTTGGTTTGAGCAAATAAATCCTTAATATTGATGAAAAATATTATGAAATATGAAAAATTGGAACCAGTACTTAAACCCCCCCCCCAAAATTAAGGAATTATTGACTTAAATAAAAGTCCTTGGTTTAAGTAAACACAAATTTATGTCTGATAAATAATATATTTTTGGTACAGAAAAGTGTTTTTCTTTTACCAAGTATGTTATTTATTTAATTTTGTTGTATTTTACTGTCATAGTAAAGTGGGGTCAGAAATCTCCAGTGACTTTTTACTCAAAAACAAACTTGGTCTCAGTAATTATGATCCGCAGTACGAGTTTGGAGAGGATTCGCTTAAAATAAGCTCCTATATGATGCCGAAAAATTACTTGTAAGTTAGTTTTGTCTTATTTCAAGTGCACTGCAGTGTATGCACTAGAAACTAGGCCAAATATATTTGGCATGATTTTGGGTTTGCAAGGCTGAACTTCAGTATTATTCACTTATTTATAATTCTCTCATAAATCAATATCTTAAAACTTTATCTTATAGAAATCGAGTTCTTAAATGTTAGTTTTGTCTTATTCCAAGTAAAGGAAGTTATTTTCACCAAAAATTAGACCAGAATACTCAGTAAGATTTTGTGTTTTTGCAGTGCAGTGGCAGAACCAAGCCTTTTAGTTGCAGAAAAATTGTTTTATTATAAGTGAAATATTTTGCCATTGGAAAAAGCACTCTTTTCATCAATATTGAGGATTTATTTACTAAAGACAAACTCCTAAATCTTGCTGAAAACATACAAGCAAGCCAGTTTTGTCTTATTTTTAGTGTACTAAGATATTCGCACTAGAAAATAGATCAAAAGTACTTGGTAAGATTTTGTGTTTTTGCAGTGTAACTTCAGGTCCAAATATTTTAGTCAACTTAAAATAAGACAGCTAAATTTCAGCAAGAATTAGGAGCTTGTTTTAAGTCAATAGTTCTTTAATATTGATGAAAAAGTTCTGGTTCCACTGGCAGATTATTTCATTTATAAAACATGAAAAAAAAAAATCATAAGAGAAAATAATCTTCCAGTGGGAACCAGGACTTTTTTCATCAATATTAAGGAATTATTAACTTAAAACAAGCTCCAGTATCTTGCTGGAAAGTTATTTTTCAGTTATTTTTGTCTTATTTCAGGCGTACTAAGATATTTGCATTAGAAACTGGACCAAAAATACTCGGTGTGACTTGGTTTTTGCAGTGAACAAACTTGTTTACAAGAAGCGTGGCTGAACTTCAACAATAATCTTCAATAATTCAACATCTAAAAATTGCAACATAATTTTGAATTGGCGTTAGAAAACTATCAAATACCTTTAAGAAGTTGATCTTATATGTTAGTAAGTTTTGTCTTATTTCAAGTGTAGTAAGTTATTTTCACTCGAAATTGACCAAAAATACTTGAATTTTTCCAGCGTGATTTGCCTAAGCGCCTTGTTTTTCCCAGCATTCCTCCCGTTTTTGGTGCGTTTGCTGTCAGGCTAAAGACTCCCGCTCGTCTGGAGGAAGGCAGTTCTGAGGGTCCAGCAGCTCCAGTGGCTCCTCCTTAAGCATGGTGGCGGCGGTGGAGTAGGAAGGCGGCATGCTGCCCCGCCGGCTCGCGGGCCGGGGCCGGCAGCAGACGCAGTGCAGGCAGTCGTGGACGTTGTACTTGAAGAGGCTCCTGCACGGGTGGCAGAACTGGTAGAAGAGCATCATGAAGAGAACGGCCAGGCAGTAGCCGATCAGCAGCTGCACCACCACCAGCAGCGCGCACACGTACTCGAAGAAGTCCGACTTGAAGAAGTACCAGAGCGTGATGAGGACGAGGTTCTCCAGGAAGCGGCCGGAGTAGTAGAGCGCCAGGCGGCGCCAGCTCTGCTTCCGGTTGATGAGCTCCTGGTGGGCCAGGTCCAGCTCCACGGCCGACCAGCAGAACACGTTGATGCAGGCGTACAGCAGCGTGAACATGCACAGCACCACGGCCGTGCCCAGCTTGGAGAAGTTCTTCTCCACGCCCTCGGCCAGCGAGCCTTTCTGCGCCCAGAACTCCACCCACGGCAGGAAGAAGAAGAAGAGCAGGTTGAGCCCGCCCACCAGGATGACCCAGTGGGTCAGGGCGGTGCTGAACAGGACCAGGGTCGTGACCCGGGTGGTGATCTCCAGGGCCCGCCACAGCACCATGCACAGGTAGGCGGCGGGCCGCAGTCGCACCTTGATGGAGTCGTAGGTGATCTGGATGGCGAGGACGCTGCAGACCAGAGCGCCGTAGGTGATGGAGACCAGGGTGATGATCATCAACGCCACTGCAGAGAGGAGAGAGAGCTTAACACGACCAGAGCGGGATAAGCTGGAGTATAACACACACA